CCTGGGTTCACATTCCTCCAGGGGTAGGAGAGTACACCTCCTACAGGTACAGGGGGAGCTAGGGCTCCCAGGAGACGAGGAGACAATACAACTATATTCACTAGTCAGAGATACAAACTCAAACCTTGTTTTCTAGTCTGCCATATTGTAGATTCTTTTTATGTCCAAGTATCAATGTATTCTATAATTTCTTGTATCCTTTTATCCATGTATAATGTAAATGTTATTCTAGTATCTTTGCATTCTTGCATTTGGTATCCTAGTGTGTTTTGGATACTAGTATCCTTAGGATCCTTATCCTTTTGTATCATTGAATCATTGTAACTTTGTATCCTTGTATCCTTGTATCCTTGTATCCTTGTATCCTTGTTTCCTTGTATCCTTGTATCCTTGTATCCTTGTTTCCTTGTATCCTTGCAGTATCCTAGTATCCTTGTATCCTTGCATCCTTGTATCCTTGTATCCTTGTATCTTTGTATCCCTGTATCCTTGTATCCTTGTATCCTTGTATCCCTGTATCCCTGTATCCTTGTATCCTTGTATCCTTGTATCCTTGTTTCCTTGTATCCTTGCAGTATCCTTGTATCCTTGTATCCTTGCATCCTTGTATCCTTGTATCCTTGTTTCCTTGTATCCTTGCAGTATCCTTGAATCCTTGTATCCTTGCATCCTTGTATCCTTGTATCCTTGTATCCTTGTATCCCTGTATCCTTGTATCCTTGTATCCCTGTATCCTTGTATCCCTGTATCCTTGTATCCTTGTATCCTTGTATCCTTGTATCCCTGTATCCCTGTATCCTTGTATCCTTGTATCCTTGTATCCTTGTATCCCTGTATCCTTGTATCCTTGTATCCCTGTATCCCTGTATCCTTGTATCCTTGTATCCTTGTATCCCTGTATCCCTGTATCCTTGTATCCTTGTATCCTTGTATCCTTGTATCCTTGTATCCTTGTATCCCTGTATCCTTGTATCCTTGTATCCTTGTATGTATCCCTGTATCCTTGTATCCTTGTATCCCTGTATCCCTGTATCCCTGTAATACACTACTAACCTTCATGTTTCCTATTTAGCTTATCAAAGAAAAAATTGGACTAATTGGACTAGGAGGAAAAATCTAAGTTGTCTGATAAACATTTCTTGATAAAATTGGACATTTTGATATCAATTTCAAACACGTTTCTAGTTATTTTTAATTGATAAAAATGTTATTTAAAAAACAAAAAATTACTAAAAAAACTAAACTAAAATCAACCGGGTTCAAGTTGTTTTCCTTCTAGGTGATGTTGCTTGGACTAGTTCGCGGGACTTACTCCGGGTAAAGCTCAGAGCTGATTCTATCAATAAACCATCATTTTTGTATTGAGCAAAAATACCCATATTTTTCTTAAATACCCTGACATTCAGGATAAGTTTTAAAAAGAATAATTTTTATTCTCAGATTTGTTCCTAATTTTTTATATTCTTATAAATTTTAGATTTTAACATTTATTTGCATTTCTGTGGAATATTCGCTTTACACAATTTAACATGTTTGGTAAAGGAATTGAGTTTTGATTTTCTAATCCCTATATCTTTGCAACCCAATGTCGTAGGCCTTAGATATATCAAATTATGAATTCTGTTAGAACAAATCTTCGAAGCCTGAAATATTAAGGGTTTACATCATTAGGTTTCAAAGATATAATGATAAAAAATTGAGTTTGTGGCAAAGATTCAATTCCTTTCTTTGTCAAAAATAATTCCACCTCCCCCCGCCCCCTCACAATAAAAAAACAAATTATTTTGACTTCGCAACGACTTTTCAAAGGAAGTGTGCTCAAGAAAGATTAGATTTGCATTTCTTCTCAAAATATTAAAGAAGATGTTTTTTTGTAGGACTAATGACGATAAACCCCTCAGAGCGAGCATTTTTGATACAAGGAGATCCAGAAAACTCTGGAATGGGAAGACGACTTTTAGATTAAAGTTATGGTTTTAAATAGTCCAATGAACATAAAAAGCAGCTGTTATGCAGTGTAAACAGACCAATCACACTTAATAAGTTGCCAGTAAAATTATTTGCTTTGTAACAACATTAAATACACTTAAGAATTGCGATAATGTCGTCTTCCTATTCCAGTGTTTTATAAATTTCACTGTACTTCAGCCAGAAGAAACCTTTCATCGTTGTTCAATATTTTAATTTTAAAGACTTTAGACTACAAGTACTACTCTTCAGATACAGCTTTTATCTATTCCTAAAGGAATTGAGTCTTTGCCACAAACTCTAATTTTCTAATCCTATATCTTTGCAACCCAATTGCGATGGCTTTAGATATTTCAAATTACGAATTCCGTAAGATCAAATAACCTAGGTTTGAAATATCAAAGGTTTACACCATCAGGTTGCAAAGATATAGCTGGATTATTGAATTAGAGTTTGTGCCAAAGACTTAATTTCTTTGTCTAAATATCATGAGATTGTTTATGAATATTTCTAGTCTAGAATCTTGTGGAGACGAGGTTCTAAATTTTCCTCTTTTCAAACAATTTGTGGAAAAAGAAATATTTAGAAAGAGGAGGCAAGCACTCGGTGTTTTGCAGGATGCAAACTTATCATAAACAGAAATTCAATTGAATATTAAACTTTGAATAAATGCCTCCCCCCCTCCTTCTCTTTATAAAAACAATTCCAACTATGTAAATAGCTCAACCTGGAGAAATAAACCGATCTGAAAATCAAAACTTTTAATTTGATAATTGGAATCTAAACCGTAAACTTCAGATAGAAAGATAGAAAGATGTAGAGAAAATGTGGTTTAATGAAATCCCTTTGAAGGAAGATGCCGATTCCCGGCTTTTCTTCTTAAGCTGGGAAAACTTAGATCTAGCCGAGGAAACCCGTCCCGGTCTGTGCTGTTCACTGGGTAGGATGGAGAGGGGGGAGTTGGAGAGCATGAACTCCTCCGGTATTTGATCATGGTTCACTTTACATCTCGACCTCCTGACCAGGTTGAAGGGAGATGTGGATCTCCGGGTCCTGGGCGGAACTTCAAGATTAACAGGGACGGGGAGAGGGAGGGATTGAGCTGGTAAAGAGAACCTGTTGTCATACCCCGGGCTCAACGGGAGGGATTGTGTTGTAAAGACACGCCTTTTGGCTCCACCCTCTTGCATGATCAGGCGGGATGAGAGCCACCAGCTAAACTGAGCTGAATCGGGTTTGAGGACGCATGCGCAGAGAAAATAAGAACCTCTGAAACCAACCTCAGGTCTCAACACTATACATGGTTTTTAACAGAATAGGACAACTTTACTCCTCTATACTCAAATTTACCTTTTATACTTTAAACAACTCAAAGATAACTTAGTTTTCCTTCTAATCAACCATTTATTGATTCAGACTATCTGATTTTATTATTACTATGTTCTGTTTAAAATCAAAATTTATTTTCTTTTAAAAACAAACTTTAACCATAAATACGGACTTAAAAAGTGTCTAGTTAAGAGTTTTATTTCTTTCATATACATAATCTTAATTTATGTGAAACTAGAATAACAGTTCGTTATATGAAGAAATGTAATTTATTATTTCAGTTATTTCCATTTAAGAACCAATAACTCCACCAAAAAAAACAAGTATGAGAGAATGGAAGAATAGAACACATGTACCACATGTACCACATGTACTTGTGTATTTAGTGAATGTACTAACCACGATGTTAACTCTGTAAAAATGAGTAAAACGTACAAATGAATGTATACAATACACGCGCTAGAAATGAATGGAAAGAATGAATAAAGAAAGTAAGTAAGGTTGGATATGGTTGATTAAAGTCCCGTCCTAAGGCTAGAGATAGAAGACGCATTTATTTTATTTTGTATTTTTTTAGCTCTCTTCTAATAACATTTCATACTACGCATTATGATCCTACATCTACAGAAGTACAGTTCAGCTTAAACGTTTATCGTTGTCCTAGGGTGAACCCATATAAACCAACTAGCTCAAGTTCCCGGCGTTGCCAGTGGAATTAAAAATTTCAATATTTTTAACGGATGTTACCCGTATGGTACGCATAAAGGTTCCCTCAAAATATGTGAGCCATTACGGTCCAGCCGTTTGGCCAGCTAAAGCTAACATATATATATATATATATATATATATACAAATATATATGAGCGAAGAGCTTTATTATATAGATATATATACTGGAGAAAACCAACCCTTCTCCTTAGCGCTCCTCAGTTTTACTCTTGTTGATATGAATAAAATGAAAAAAATTGCTAAGAGCAACCATTAATATTACAATATATTTAATGTTTATTTATTCTGGTTGATTTAGTAATAACTAATCTGATATCTTCTACATTACTATCTCCGTTACTATCTCTCCATCTCTCTCTATCTCTCTCTATCTCTCTTTATCTCTATTTGTCTATCTCTCTATCTCTCTAGCTCTCTTTTCTCTATCTCTCTATTTATCTCTTTCTCTTTATTTCTTTATCTCTTTATCTCTCTATCTCTCTATATATCTATCTAACTATCTATTCTTCTTTATATCTATCTATCTATCTATCTATCTATCTGGGTAAGTTTGTAAGATAGTTATCATGTAGTTTATCAATTACATACTACAGAAGCTCCAATTATAGAATAAATATTCTAAAGTAAATATGAAGTTACCGAGAAATATTGCCTAACTTAGAGCTCAAAAAGAACTTCGATAAGGTGTCTTATAAAAAAAGCTCAAAAAAGGTTAAAACAAAGAGTATATACCCATAATTTTTAATCTTTAAAAACGACTTATGTATGCATTTCAGTATTTAAAACTAAGGTTACCATTGAAATCCGGAATATTTATATACTTTATATCTCATATATTTATATACTCTATTTTTTAATTTGTTAAAAATTAAAAGAGTTCTCTTGAGCTTAAAGAACTAAGACGATCTAGATATTCATAATGAAGACGACATTTAATCATACGAGAACGTCTGGAATCGAAGACGACCTCCTACCTTGCTAGACGCCATGTCTGATACACTCCTATGTGTCTGAATAGTCTCCAGTTGGTCCAGGCACCAGTCCAGCTCCTCCAGGGTGTCCAGGGATACCCGGAGAAAGTTCTCATCTACATTTAGAGGACAATTAGAAAAATGTCCTTAATCTAGGGGGGGGGGATATTCTTTAACCACCGGCACTAACCCTCCTTCCTCTTTCTCCGTCCCTCTTTTTTATCTTTTTTTCTGTGTAATTTGAAAAAAATAGTTTTTCACGGAAAAATGCATTTCAAAACAAAATTTCAAAGTCCTGTTTATCACTAGAAAGGGTAGACCTCCCTGAAAATTAGATGATTTAAAATTTATGCAAAACTGCTGTGAATTGTGATACTTTTTTTTTGTCCACCAAATAATACCTTTTACTAGAGGTTACCTACATTTACAAAGAATGAGAATTCAACGACGACTGTACGGATAGAATAGATGTAGGATTGGATAAATGTAGGATTAGATAAATGTAGGATTTGATAAATGTAGGATTGGATAAATGTAGGATTGGATAAAAGTAGGATTGGATAAATGTATGAGTAGATAAATGTAGGATTGGATAAATATAAGATTGGATAAATGTAGGATTAGATAAATGTAGGATTGGATAAATGTAGGATTGGATAAATGTAGGATTGTATAAATGTAGGATTAGATAAATGTAGGGTTGGATAAATGTGGGATTAGATAAATGTAGGATTTAATAAATGTAGGATTGTATAAATGTAGGATTAGATAAATGTAGGGTTGGATAATTGTAGGATTAGCTAAATGTAGGATTGGATAAATGTAGGATTATATAAATGTAGGATTGGATAAATGTAGGATTATATAAATGTAGGATTGGATAAATGTAGCATTGGATAAATGTAGGATTGGATAAATGTAGGATTGGAAGAAATGTAGGACTGGATAAATGTAGGATTGGATAAAAGTAGGATTGGATAAAAGTAGGATTGGATAAATGTAGGATTGGATAAATGTAGGATTTGATAAATTTAGGATTGGATAAACGTAGAATTGGATAAACGTAGGAGTAGATAAATGTAGGATTGGATAAATGTAGGATCATATTAATGTAGGATCATATTAATGTAGGATTGGATAAATGTAAGATTGGATAAAAGTAGGATTGGATAAATGTAGGAGTAGATAAATGTTGGATTGGATAAATTTAGGATCATATTAATGTAGGATTGGATAAATGTAGAACTGGATAAATGTAGGATTGGATAAATGTAGGATTGGATAAATGTAGGATTGGATAAATGTAGAATTGGATAAATGTAGGACTGTATAAATGTAGGATTGGATAAATTTAGGATTGGATAAATGTAGGATTGGATAAATGTAGGATTGTATAAATGTAGGATAGGATGAATGTAGGACTGGATAAAAGTAGAATTGGAAAAATGTAGGATTAGATAAATGTAGGAGTAGATAAATGTAGGATTAGATAAATGAAGTATTGGATAAATGTAGGATTAGATAAATGTAGGCTTGGATAAATGTAGGATTGGATAAATGTAGGATTAGATGAATGAAGGATTTGATAAATATAGGATTGGATAAATGAAGGCTGGATAAATGTAGGATTGGATAAATGTAGGTTTGGATAAATGTAGGATTGTATAAATGTAGGATAGGATGAATGTAGGACTGGATAAAAGTAGAATTGGAAAAATGTAGGATTAGATAAATGTAGGAGTAGATAAATGTAGGATTGGATAAATGAAGGCTGGATAAATGTAGGATTGGATAAATGTAGGTTTGGATAAATGTAGGATTGGATAAATGTAGGATTAGATAAATGTAGGATTTGATAAAAATAGGATTGGATAAATGAAGGCTGGATAAATGTAGGATTGGAAAAATGTAGGATTTGATAAAAATAGGATTGGATAAATGTAGGATTAGATAAATGTAGGATTTGATAAAAATAGGATTGGATAAATGTAGGATTGGATAAATGTAAGATTGGATAAATGTAGGATTGGATAAATGTAGGATTGGATAAATGTAGGATTGGATAAATGTAGGATTTGATAAAAATAGGATTGGATAAATGTAGGATTAGATAAATGTAAGATTGGATAAATGTAGGATTGGATAAATGTAGGATTGGATAAATGTAGGATTGGATAAATGTAGGATTGGATAAATGTAGGATTGGATAAATGTAGGTTTGGATAAATGTAGGATTGGATAAACGTAGGATTGGATAAATGAAGGATTGGATAAATGTAGGTTTGGATAAATGTAGGATTGGATAAACGTAGGATTGGATAAATGAAGGCTGGATAAATGTAGGATTGGATAAATGTAGGTTTGGTAAAAATAGTAGGTTTGGATAAATGTAGGATTGGATAAACGTAGGATTGGATAAAGGTAGGATTGGATAAATGAAGGATTGGATAAATGTAGGTTTGGATAAAAGTAGGATTGGATAAACGTAGGATTGGATAAATGTAGGATTGGATAAACGTAGGATTGGATAAATGTAGGATTGGATAAAAGTAGGATTGGATAAATGTAGGATTGGATAAATGTAGGATTGGATAAATGTAGGATTGGATAAATGCAGGATTGGATAAATGTAGGATTGGATAAATTTCATAGGATTTCTACGAATTTAACGTTTCTCAATAAGACAGATATTTTGATACCCATTTCGATTTATTTTGACCAACAAAATTTTCTGGCTAACCTTAGAGATTTATTATACCACAAAGTTGAAAAAACATTTCAAATCTTTTACAAGGTGGATTCGAGGATTTTTATCATAAAAGTGTCGCATAGATTCACGGTTTTAACTTTATTAAAAAAAATATTGTTTACCGTTGATGTTAGGTGGATGATATGTTTGTTGATTGTGCGCGTTGAGGTTTGTATGCGCGTGCGCGGGAGGAAGCTGAGCGGCTTGGCTCAGGCTGAGTGCAGATGTTGAAGTGTTTCTACGAGATCTAAAATCAAGAAAGTATAGAAAACCTTAAAAATGTATTTTATCGAAGACATAAGATCTGATTTTTCTTCATAACTTGCTGACATTGCTAAATTGAAAGACAGAAGACGACAATCTATCCACTGTTTTTGGTTACCACTGTAAAAGTCTAGTTCATCAAAATTTATCATATAGCTGAAAAATAAAATTGCTGGAAATGGACCAAACTGTTGCAATAGTTTTAAATGTCGTCTTCTTGTTCAAAATTACTGGAGGATTGGATTAATTAGATACAGGGTGTCCCCCGAAACATGACAGAAGCAAAACGACTTGAAGGTCGTCTTTAATTTCTGATATAATTTGCTGCTTATTTGTCAACCTAATTTTATTAATAAAATTCCAGAGATAATCACAAAATATCGCTAGTCCTGGTTTTGGTTTAATTTAACAAAATTAAAAACTGAACGATATTTTTTATATCTTCGCCGGTACAATTGCACAAAATTGCATATAAAAAGCGTCCCATATCATATTAGATTATCTCCAAGCTTTAACGCCAAACTAAACATATAATATTCGAAAAATATAGCATTTCCTGCAAGAAAATTTTTATATTCGCCTTATTCAATTTTTTAAAATGATTTATTCTTCTTAAATATTCTGATTAGTCCCGGAAATTGTAATTTAGACCCATTGACGGTCTAATATGATATGGGACACCCTGAATGTAATGATGTACATTGTACACAATAAAAGCTTAGTTTAATGTAAAATTAATGTGTGTGACTGTGTGCGTATAAAAAAATTCGTTTGTAAAAAGCGGGGTATCATGGATCTTCATTGAAGCCCTCAAATTTAAAAACTTATTTATGTTAAAACCTTAACCAGCACTTTAAAAAAGAATGTCATGTACTCTCAAAAAAATTAGAATGATATGGAAATTTTTACCGTCTAGGGATTCAAATACAAACCCAAGGGGCGTTTAAACTTTTCATTGGTTCTTATTTTTCTGAGAGTACATAATACAATTTTAAAGAAAAATAATATTATCAAAAATTAGAATTTGGTTTGATCCGCGATGATTAAAGTATTGGTCTGTGATTTGGATCCATCGACGATATAATTTCTGACTGACGAATTGTCAGCAGCAAGAGACATTAATTTCATTATTCAATTAACTTTCCATATTCGAACACATTTCCTTTCTTTTTTTTAATGTAAACAAATATAAATATTAGTTGCAGAAGCTGAAATAGGATTATCTTTGAAAAAATAATCATGATTAAAAATATTGAGGACCTTAATTAAAACCTAATTATATATAATGAGAAATTGGGACCATTTTGTTAAATCACCAATTTTTGTGCTGAAGACAACGGTTAGACAGGCCCATACAATTCTGGAATAGGAAGACGACATTCATGTAAATTTTATGTGTACTCTATGTTGTTACTAGCTTGGGAACCCAGAGTTCCCAAGGTTGCTTAAAGTTACTTTCACCGTTTACCCGCACTTGAAGGATTTTACCGGGAAACTAAATGTTCGCTATTAAAGTCGACCCACTCAACTTAGAATCTTAAAACTAAGCTCAGAACATTTCCGTGGGCATCCCGAGTTCTCAAATCAAAATTTGGGGAAAATCAGTCCAGGGCCGGGTTCCTGAGTTATGATCGGACGAACAAACACAGACAGACAAACAGAGATAGCTTTATATACTTAAAAAATATATATAGATTATATACATAGATAACGCTATTAGTTTTTCCGTTTACTTGGAAATCAACCAAAAAAGAAAAATGGGATTGTATTACATTTCACAGTGCACAATTGCCATGTGAAATGTTCATTGAACTGCCTAAACCAGAAACAGAGGCTTACAGTCTTCTTCCTATTCCACAGTTTTGAGCATTTTGAATTTAGGCAATTTGGTTAAGTTATCTTTAAGCCTGGTTTTTAAAACTACAGTGATGCACATTGCACATATATAAATATCCTGGGGTTGATAACTGTAGTGCACAAGTTGAAATATATTAAAGCAAAATAGTCAAATATAAATAGATAGATTTTATCTCAATTTAAAGAATTTCTATGGAAAGCGCGGAGGGGGGGTACTACTTTTCTGAAACTGACTTAATTTAGAAAAATTGAGATGTCAAAAGTTTCAACAGGAAAGTGAACGTTTCTTTTCATATAAAAATGCAACTAATATTGGCAAAAGTCGCGTTTTTTAGAATTAAGGTGCAAGCGGCCATGAGCCACAACTATTTCCATTCCATGACCCTTAATTAATCATTCTTACGTGCCACAACACAGTAGGCTTCCGGCCGGAAACAACTGTATTATGGAAGAGTAAATAGTTGGGGATCAAGGCTGCCGGAAAACAAGAACGTCAAAGTGTGGCGTCGAAAGGAGATAGTTGTGGTTCACGGCCGCCTTTATTCCCCCACTCATAGAAGAATAATACCCAAGGAGACTTATAAAACTGTGGAATATGAAGACGACATTTAATCACTCTTATATATTTTTTGTAATTAGAGCAAATATCTTTACGAGTAAATAAACTTAAGTGCAATGGGACAGTGTACACTACACAATGGGCCAGTGTACACTACACAATGGGACAGTGTACACTACACAATGGGCCAGTGTACACTGCACAATGGGACAGTGTACACTGCACAATGGGACAGTGTACACTGCACAATGGGACAGTGCACACTACACAGAGCCGAGTTTCTTTGCTTACAGCTGACTATTCAAAACTATAACTTAAGTCTAACAATCGACGTCTTCGTATTCCAAAGTATGGTGGGAACAACAGTGAACATTCTTTTAAATTTGAAAATATAATGATATTTACCTAGGCGCAGGTACATTAGTTAGCGTTATATAATTATTTCTCACACTGCGCAAACTCGCTAGGATCTGCGCAAACGGGGTCACAATTAGGTCCTCTCCGTGCCTAAACATAAACATATTAATTATATAAACATATAATTATATATATATATATAAATATATATAAAAATGAACAATTATATAAAGTACACCTATATTGTACATCAGAAATAGTATTATTGTAAAATTAATATTTGATCAGTAATTTAAATTGGATTTGAAAATTCAGTGTTTTTTTAGAGACAATTGTCTTGTTTTTATTGGACTAAAAACTATGAATTTGTTATAATGAAAAATGTATATACTTTCCTAACCAATTTATTTTTGAACGTTACTCTTGAAAACTTTTACTTTTGTGTTTAAAGGAATTGAGTTTTTGTCACAAACTCGAATTTTCTAAACCATATATCGATATTTAAACCTTGATATTTAAAACTAAGATTTTATTTAGAAATATTTTATAAATATATATAAACATATAAGAAAATAAGTATTCAAAATATGATTTGAAGTGTATATTGTACTATGCATTCTTCAGGATACATATATATTAATATATATATATATATATTAATAAGGTCATCTCTTTCCCTAAACATGTATATACTATAGGCTTACATCTTCTATTTCAATTTTGAACATTTTCTCTTTGTATATATACATTGCAACACAATAAGCTCGTGGATTTTCAAAATTTAATGATAATAAAATTTTGTTGAAGGCTAATTTTTGAAATTTCGATCATCCATAAACCTTCCCTGGGGTCATGTAAGGTCCCATACAAAATTTGGGCCTGATCGGTTCAGCCGTCTGGACGTTTATTGGATACAAACAAACAGACAAATACCCAGACAAGCAAAGTATATGTATAGATTAATTAAACGAAAAATATATAAAATAAAGCAATATTAATGGTAGAATAGGTAATTCTCTAACAAATTGATGATAACATGCAAACTGAAGAAAAACTAGGTTATATTAACATTAACTGCATCAGGAGATAAATGTTATAACTACGTAAGCACAAGATTTATAAAATTATGTTTAAAAAAATAATAAATAATAAATTAAATTTATCGATATAAACATAACAATTTAAAAAAGACGACCTTTCTTGTTATTTGGCAAACTATACATGCGTACATACACAATACATTTGACAAAAATATATAAATGTAATATTTTTTTTGGTAAATAGTACAAATTCTTATGAAAATAATTTGTGAATAATAAAGTTATAAAATAGATATTTATACAATTAAATCTATTTTTACAATAATTAATATGAATATCAAATTTATTATGCCGTTATACTAAATAATGTTTTGTTACTATGCTTTATTGGATTTTATTGTTTGGTTTGTGAAAATATATCTGTTTATGTATTAAAACAAAATATTGTTTTGTTATTGTCTTATTATGAAATCTCATAAAAAGTATGATAAAAAAGTAATTTGTATAGCTTGAAATACGACATGGGCCACCTGAACTATGACATGGACCGCCTAAACTATAAACATGACTGCCTAAACTTTTACATGGACCGTCTGAACTATGACATGGGCCGCCTGAACTATAGACATGGACTGCCTGAACTACGACATGGAGCGTCTGAACCATGACATGGACCGCCTGAACTACGACATGGACTGTCTGAACTATGACATAGGCCTTCCTGAACTATGAAATGGGCCGCCTGAACTACGACATGGGCCGCCTGAACTGTGACATGGGCCTCGTAAACTATAACAAGGACATCATGAAATAAGACATTGGCTGCCTGAAATACGACATGGGCTGCCTGAAATACAACATGGGCTGCCTGAAATAAGACATGGGCTGCCTGAAATAAGACATTGGCTGCCTGAAATACAACATGGGCTGCCTGAAATACGACATGGGCTGCCTGAAATAAGACATTGGCTGCCTGAAATACGACATGGGCTGCCTGAATTACGACATTGGCTGCCTGAAATACGACATGGGCTGCCTGAAATACGACATTGGCTGCCTGAAATACGACATGGGCTGCCTGAAATAAGACATTGGCTGCCTGAAATACAACATGGGCTGCCTGAAATAAGACATGGGCTGCCTGAAATAAGACATTGGCTGCCTGAAATACAACATGGGCTGCCTGAAATACAACATGGGCTGCCTGAAATAAGACATTGGCTGCCTGAAATACGACATGGGCTGCCTGAAATAAAACATGGGCTGCCTGAAATACGGCATGAACAAGATTCATTCCAACCTAAGAACACTTCATACCGACTTAAGAAAAGTTTCAATCAATGAAGCTCAAAATAGTTCTAATTGAGCAAAAATTAGAACATATGGACCAAAGAAAAGTACCGATTGATCAAATAATAGTACCGATTGATCAAATAATAGTACGGATTGATCTAAGAATTGTACGTATTGGTCAAAGAATAGTACGGATTGATCAAAGAATATTACGGATTGATCAAAAAATAGTACCAATTGATCAAAGAATAGTACTGATTGATCAAAGAATAGTACCGATTTATAAAAGAATAGTACTGATTGATCAAAGAATAGTACCGATTGATCAAAGAATATTATTGATTGATCAAAGAATAGTACCGATTTATGAAAGAATAGTACTGATTGATCAAAGAATAGTACCGATTAATCAAATAATATTATTGATTGATCAAAGAATAGTATATATTAATCAAAGAATTTTACCGATTGATGAAAAAAATAATGACATTACAAAATTTCGAAATGACCGAAAGGCCCGTGAAGTACACCTGCAGTATGGAAACAGTACAACAAAATGGCCGTTTTACACTTTTTTCTAGTAAATTCCCCTCTAATATATATTCTATTCTCTTTGCCCTTATAATAATGCTATTGGTTAAATCAAGAAATAATTATTTAGTATTATTTAGTTTATCATGATTTGATATTCTTTATAATGTTCAGGGACTATGAAGTAATATATTATACACGAGTCTATTAAGAGTAAATAGCACCTAGGCATGCCTGCATAAATAACACACTATTATATCAAACTCACATTCCTCTCATATATGATATATAGAACCTAGTAAAAATGTGTAAATAAATCTTATAAAAATACATTTATACCATTAATAAATAAAATATTAATGCGTACAAACGTAATAGAGCAAACAGCAAACAATACAATTTCAAACAAAAAGGATGTATTTGTGAAAATTGAGAGTGTTTATCAGATGAAAAATGTAATATACTGGGTTGTACCCACAGTAAATAGGTAAGGGGATAAAACGACGACGTGTAACTCCTGCCTTCAATATAGTTTTAAAAACTCGGTGATGGTGATGGACCAAACCTCTGTAGAGTAAAAAAGTAGATGTTAGTTCCACATTTATTGAAAATATATTTCGGTCTGGGTTGACCCTCGTCAGTTCTAACGATATAATAACCATCAAAATTGATAAAAAAAATTAAAAAGTGTAAAAAATCACAAGTAGATAAACAAACAAAAAAGATTATTTAAAATAAAAATTTGGACTGTCAAATGGACATAAGGGAAACGAACTCAGATTATGAGATGGAAAAAAGATAATTTACAAATATTCACTTTAAAAAAAATGTTTTAAGACAATTTTTATTCCTTGAGATGGTTTCTTCACAAAGATTAAAACAAACTGTGTAGATGTGTGTTTATATATAGAGTGGGGGTGCAGGGGTCGATCTAATTAACGAACTTTTGCGTAAGTCGGGGGAGGGGGAGGGGTGGGGACGGCTTGTTTAAGGAGGGGTATTTAAACCTTTTAAAGAATTGGACATAAAAAACTCTTTTTTAAAAAAACATACTGAGTTACAGTTTACAATTAAATAAAAACTATTTTTTTCTGTTCATTCCTCTGAGTTCAGTCATAAAATCTCTGATGTATTTAGATTCACGTACTTCAAGTAAACTTCTTCCGTGGTCCCAAACCTTCTCTAGAACGCTAACTTTTAGATGGTAGAGTTCATGTCCAGGAAGGTTAAAATGTTCTCCTGTAGGCTGGTTTGTATGGAGATTTCTAATGTAACCAATATGTTCTCTCACTCTTTCATCTAAAGATCGTGTTGTCTGTCCTATATATTGTAGTTTACACTGTTCACATGTAATACAGTAAACTACATTTCTGGTCTTACAGTTGAAAGTTCCATTAATCTCAATCTTCTTGCTGGTATTAGAGGACTGTATAACTGTTTCAGGCTCTCTGTAGGGACAAGTTGGGCAATTTAAACCACAAGGTTTCATACCAGGTATTAGCCTCTTTGGCCTCATTCTAGGAGGATCAGAAATTCTGGCTCGGATGAGTTTATCCCTGAGATTAGGAGGTCTCCTATAGGTAACCATAGGTGGATTTTGAAAAACCTCCTTCATCCAAGGATCCTGGACCATGGTTTTCCAATGTTTCTGTATGATGGAGGAGATACAAGGCAGCTGGGGATTAAATGAGATGGAGAATATAACTCGATCTGGTTTCTCTTTTTTCACCACTTTCTTTAAAGCAACTTCTCTAGGTATAGCTTTAGCTCGGACTATAGCAGAGTCAACAATTGAAGAATTGTAATCCCTGCTGAGAAGAAAATCCCTTAGTTTTAAGAATTGTGCATCCCTAAGTTCTGGTTTGCTGCAAATTCGTAAAATTCTGTATGCAAGTGAATAAGGTTTATAGTTTATAAATGAAAAACTTATTGAGCTTTCAACTTCAAGGAACCAAACAGCAGGTTACAAAGATAGAGGTATTAAGTATTCAGTTTAAGAGTTCAATTAACTTTATAAGATTCTCTAATGTTTATATATTTGAGTAATAAGCAATATTCGTGTAATTTGATTATGACCTGACATAAAATAATCAAATTTAATGATTATGATCGTTATGTTGCGTGGTCCACAATGTTAAACTATCCTATACCAAAAGAAATTAAGTCTAATTGCCACAAACTCAAATTTTCTAATCCCTATTTTGTTTAAATAAACTCAATATACTCATAATAGTTCTTAATGGGGGGAAGGGAAAGCCGGAGGTCTAAAAAATATTTTTTAGAAAATTTTGAAAACACTGCATCGTTGGTCTCGGTCACAAGAATTCAAAGTAGGATTAATCATCTCTATTCAAGTTTAGGACAGCGTATCAAAGTTTTGACAGATTTAATATTCAGAATCTATACAATATACATCTATCTTATAACAGAGGATAAATTAGGAATAATCATTTCTGAAATTGTTTAAATAATGTACTCTAGCTAGTTTCTAGCAGGAATTTAAACAAAACCCCACTTAGAGGGAAATACTCCCCTGAGAGACTGGCTTCATCTTCTTCCTAAGGAAATACCCCCATGGAAACCTAGTTTCAACTCCTCCCTCTAGGAATACTCCCCTGTAAGCCTAGTTTCACCTCCTCCCTCTAGAAATACTCCCCTGTAAGCCTAGATTCACCTTCCTCCTCTGAAAATACCCCCCTGTGAGCCTGGTGTCACCTCCTCCCTCTGAAAATACTCCCCTGTAAACCTGGTTTCACCTCACCCTCTGGAAATACTCCCCTGTAAACCTGGTTTCACCTCCTCCCTCTGGAAATACTCCCCTGTAAACCTGGTTTCACCTCCTCCCTCTGGAAATACTCCCATGTAAGCCTAGTTGGAAAGCATGCTATTGGTTAAATCAAGAAATAATTATTTAGTCTCCCATGTAAGCCTAGTTTCCCCTCCCCTTTCGGAAATACTCCCATGTAAGTTTAGTTTCACCCCCCCCCCGCCCACTTTAAATACTCCCCTGTAAGCCTGATTTCACCCCCCCCCCCGGAAACACTCCCCTGTAAGCCTGGTTTAAACAGAAAACAAGTTTGACCACGAAACTCTCTCTATATAGACCCATTCTACGCTTTCTAGTGTTGTATCAAAGGACATTAATATATATATTAGATATTAATTAATGGTTATTTTTTACTCACTGGGTGACAAAAATTCAAAAAATCGCAATATTCGACTAAAAAATTCATAAGTTAATTTGAAAAAATGTATCAAGTAAAAAAAGGAAGAAAAAATTCCTTTTTTTCCAGGATTGAAGGACTAAGAACTATGTAGTGTAGAAGAAAGCATAAAGAAGGGTTCATGAATTATTAAGAATTGTTCACAATTAATAGCTGTCACTATCCAAACATGCATAAAAACATACATTAGGTTGAGAAGGTCATTAGTATTATTGGAAAATAAAAGAAGTTGTTTTTATAAGTAATTTCGAGAGTTTTTCTGCTCTGTCTTTTAGTAACCATAAACATAGATATATAATGCTTAAAAATAACTTTCACCATGTCGTCTTCCTTTTTTTATTTTTCCGTGGTTGATAATCTGGCTGAAGGGATGAGTATATTGAGTGTTTGTAAGAGATTGCAGTTGATTAAATATTGAAAATCTATTCTTTTTCATCCCTAGGTTCCTTCATTGCTTTTACTCTTACTTTTCATCCCTAGGTTCCTTCATTGCTTTTACTCTTACTTTTTCATCCCTATAGGTTCCTTCATTGCTTTTACTCTTACTTTTCATCCCTAGGTTCCTTCATTGCTTTTACTCGTACTTTTTCATCCCTAGGTTCCTTCATTGCTTTTACTCTTACTTTTCATCCCTAGGTTCCTTCATTGCTTTTACTCTTACTTTTTCATCCCTAGGTTCCTTCATTGCTTTTACTCTTACTTTTTCATCCCTATAGGTTGCTTCATTGTTTTTACTCTTACTTTTTATCCCTATACGTTGCTTCATTGCTTTTACTCTTACTTTTCATCCCTATACGTTGCTTCATTGCTTTTACTCTTACTTTTCATCCCTATAGGTTCCTTCATTGCTTTTACTCTTACTTTTCATCCCTATAGGTTCCTTCATTGCTTTTACTCTTACTTTTCATCCCTAGGTTCCTTCATTGCTTTTACTCTTACTTTTTCATACCTAGGTTCCTTCATTGTTTTTACTCTTACTTTTCATCCCTATAGGTTTCTTCATTGCTTTTACTCTTACTTTTCATCCCTATAGGTTCCTTCATTGCTTTTACTCTTACTTTTCATCCCTATAGGTTGCTTCATTGCTTTTACTCTTACTTTTCATCCCTGGGTTCCTTCGTTGATTTTACACTTACTTTTTCATACCTAGGTTCCTTCATTGTTTTTACTCTTACTTTTCATTCCTATAGGTTCCTTCATTGCTTTTACTCTTACTTTTCATCCCTATAGGTTCCTTCATTGTTTTTACTCTTACTTTTCATCCCTATAGGTTCCTTCATTGCTTGTCCTCTCAGTTTTCTTATTTTTAATATTTCATTCTGAAGATTCTTAAATTATTTTTCTTTTTTCTTTTTTAGGTTTTTGCTTCATTTCCAAATGCATTGTTGTAGTTCTTAGCTCTTTTTTCATTTCTAGGTAGTATTTTCATTTTTAGGTAGTATTTTCATTTCTAGGTTGTATTTTCACTTCTAGGTTGTATTTTCATTTTTAGGTAGTATTTTCATTTCTAGGTAGTATATTTTCATTTCTAGGTTGTATTTTCATTTCTAGTTAGTATTTTCACTTCTAGGTTGTATTTTCATTTTTAGGTAGTATTTTCATTTCTAGGTTGTATTTTCATTTTTAGGTAGTATTTTCATTTTCAGGTAGTATTTTCATTTCTAGGTAGTATTTTCATTCTTAGGTAGTATTTTCATTTCTAGGTAGTATTTTCATTTTTGGGTAGTATTTTCATTTCTAGGTTGTATTTTCATTTTTAGGTAGTATTTTCATTTCTAGGTAGTATTTTCATTTCTAGGTACTATTTTCATTTCTAGGTACTATTTTCATTTCTAGGTTGTGTTTTCATTTTTAGGTAGTATTTTCATTTCTATGTACTATTTTCATTTCTAGGTACTATTTTCATTTCTAGTACTATTTTCATTTCTAGGTACTATTTTCATTTCTAGGTTGTGTTTTCATTTTTAGGTAGTATTTTCATTTCTATGTACTATTTTCATTTCTAGGTACTATTTTCATTTCTAGGTTGTGTTTTCATTTCTAGGTAGTATTTTCATTTCTAGGTAGTATTTTCATTTCTAGGTAGTATTTTCATTTCTAGGTAGCATTGTTTTTTCATTTCTACCTGTAGGATTTTCATTTCTACGTTGTATTTTCATCGTTGCGTAGTATTTTCATTTCAAAGTATTAATTTCATCTCTCAGCTATATTTTCATTTCTATGCTGGATTTCATTTCTAGGTTGTATTTTCATTTCTAGGTTGTATTCTCATTTCTAAGCCAAAATTTCAATTCTAGGCGGTATGTGTTGTTTACTTACAGGATTACAGGGCGCTTCGCCCCCTTCTTCTTTTTCAATTATGAACATTTTCTATGTGTATACATTTAAAAACAAAAACAAAAAGTTCGCGGATTATGTAAAGAAAATTTCGTGGATTTTCAAAGTTTAATAAAAATCGAACTTTGAAATCGAAATTTTTATCATCTATAAACCTTGGGCCCGATCGGTTCAGCCGTTGTTACTTTTATTGGACACACACAAACAAACAAACAGACACCAAGACAAGCATTGATATAAATTTGAATGTAGGTTGAATTTTGTGTTTATTTTGTTATTTTATTATATTTGAATTTATTTTTCTAGATTGTGTTTTTCAGAAATGAAACTTGTTTTATTATTTGTATGTTTCTTCTCTGTGTATACTGAGGGACAACAGTTCGGCAGAATTGTCAGGAAAATGATAAAATTTAAATGAAAAATCTGAGGGAAAAATTATTTTCTTACAACATTTTTGTTAAATTAAATTCGTCAACAGATTTTTAATGTATAATTAAATTTAAATTGAACTAAAGCAGAAATTCCTTTGAATTTGTTTTGAATATTTTCACAAATATTTCTTAAGAAGATCATAAAAATTACAAAATAAAAGTCTAAAATTTTTAATTTGCTGGGTAGAAATGTGAATACCAACATATTCTCATCTCTGGTGGAGAAAAATAAAGACTCCAATGTTGTGATTTCTCCGCTAAGGTAAATAAACAACTTTAAAACGACGATGGCTGTGTATTTTTACAGAAAAAAAAACTTATAATATATTTGGATACAGATTGAGACTTCAGAGACGACTGTACGGAATTTGTTTAGTCCCTTTTCTTACATTTAGGGTTCCTTGCAGGACAAATCTGGTTTATTTCTGTGCTATAATCATTTAGTAAACCATTGAAATTATGAAATACTGTATGGAAGGCAAAAACCATCATATTTAAAGGGTTTTGGGTCGTCTTTGTGGGTAACCATGTATACCTATCAAAATTGATCGCAGACAGTTTGACCAAACGATCACTCTCGTGAGAATTTCCCTCTTTAGCTGGAAATAATACTTCTCGTTTCTGATTGGACGGTTAAAGAAAACAAATGTTCTCATTGGTCGGTTAAAGAAAAAAAATGTTCTGATTGGTTGTTTAAAGAAAACAAATGTTCTGATTGGTCAGTTAAAGAAAACAAATGTTCTGATTGGTCGCTTAAAGAATACAAATGTTCTGATTGGTCGGTTAAAGAAAACAAATGTTTAAGCTGCAAGGACCAATCTTAATAACTTAATTCTCGCAGAACCCGAAAGGCAGTATCGGAAACCCGGTTTCATGAATGCATGGGATCAGGCAGTTAGACAGTAAATAAACTAGCGCTTGTCCACGTTTTATCCGATCACCCATTTATATAGAATAAGACTTTTATAAATGTATCCGATATTGTATAGATAGAGTAAACACATTGTAATATACACAAAACTTATATATTTCGAGTCTGTTTTTATATAAATGGATTAGATGTTAGATTATATGTTATTAGATTATATTAGATTGAGAGAGAAAAAAAAGAAGGAACTTAGGATATGAGGGGGGGGGGGGTGATTTTGATTTTATCTTGACCCAATTTCTTATAGAGATTAAAATTGTTATTCGTAAAAAGTTCAAAGTAAGTTCTTTTTTAAACTGGATTTATAAATGTCAAGGACATATGGTTACATAAAAACCGTTTTTTGTCTAAATTGTAAAAAACGTTTAAGTTTTTTATTCACAAAATCCAAAAAAATGTTTAACATATAAAAATATTTTTCTTTTCTGCGTTCCTAAAAATGAAATCTTTCTTTTGTCCTGCTTTAAAAACAAATTGTTCCTGTAAAACATAAACATATTGCCCAATTCAAAGTTTTGATATTTTTTGGGCGAATAGCAAATAACAAGGTTGTAACTAAAAAAAAAGATTTATAAATTAGAGTAATTATATATAAATATTTATGTTACAAGTTTCTGAATTGAAAACTTTTAATGAATATTCGTTATAATGTAAACTGTAAGACTAAATCTTTCCAAAAAAATATCATAGACTTTAGATATATAAATTCTGTTAGATCAAATACGCTAGATTTGATATATCAAAGGTTTACACAATCAGGCTGTAAAGATAAAGGGATGAGAAAGTTTGAGTTTTTGGCAAAGACATATTTTCTTTGCTAAGCGTAGTATTGTAATAGAATATTTTAAAATAAGAAGATATTTATATTTTTTATATTTTCTTATGGAACAAAATCGTTGTTTGTATGTAAGTGTTTTGAACAAAACGCAAGCGTCAAAAAACTGTTTTTCAAAATATTTCATTCATCTGAGGAAAACAAGAGAATTAAGAACCAATCTGGATAAATCGTTTAAACCCTTTGTTATCTCAGATTACATAGAAATATAAAATAACAGATTGAGCAAAGGGAACTGTACAATTCAAATGACCATCCATTTCATAGAGTAATAAAACGAAGAGGTGAAGCTTAGCTCAGATGTACACAACCGACCTCCCTATTAATTAGTTAATGGAGCGGTCGGTTGTATACATCCGATATGTTTACGTACCTATCACTGTACACTTGTATATAGAGTGATCGTATTTCTAATGGGTGGTTTTATGTAGATATTTAAATATTAGTATTGATAATTAGATAGACATTTAATATGGATTTAAATAAAGAAAGAAAATCTAAAAATCGGTCAATTCCATCAAATCCCGCTTAGAAATACGATCACTCTATATACAAGTGTACAGTGTTAGATACGTTAACATATCGTGATGTATACAACCGACCACTCTATTAACTAATTAATAGGGAGGTCGGTTGTGTACATCTGAGCTAAGCTTTACCTATTCGTTTTATTACTCTATGATCCATTTGTATCTATTAAACCACTGATCAAGGATGATTGATTTTTCTATAAAATAAAGCTCTTCGTTCATGTAAACGTATATATTAGGATGTACATATGTTAGCAATAGCTGGCCAAAAGGCTGGACCAAATTGGCTGAATTTTTTTAGGGAACCCATGGTTACCCCAGGCGTAACAAAGGCTGAAAAATGTTAAAATTCCACGGGCAACACCCTGCACTTGAGCCAGTTTCCTTTTTTGTGAAAAGCCTGTATAGTTACGTAAGGAAGCCACTCAGAAGTTTGTTTTCTAACTTTTATACATCTTAACGAATGTATTGTAATGTTGTATATGTGCAATGAACATTGTACCCTTTTTTTCTGGGGGGGGGGGGGTTAAAGCAATATACAATGTACTTCAAAATTGCTTCAAATTATTGTCTGAAAAAAGTGGAATTTTCTTAAGAAAATGTTTAATTTAATATTATTTGTAAATTACAAATGTCGAGTTTGGCATTTTTGTGAGATTTGTAAAATCATATTTTATACACAGTTCTACACATTATTCTTTCAATATATACAATGTATGTATTGTATTCTAAGAAATTAAAAAGTAAGCTTGAGTATCACGCACCTCTGACCCTTCAGTAAAATTAAATTCAACCTAAAGTCTGGCCGCGTCAACCTTGTTGCACCGGCTAGTCCTATTGAGTGTCTGCTTAATTTACCCAATGTCCGTGGGATACGGTACAAACTTGGACCGAAAAGGTTGACCCGGCTCGGAAATTCAAATGTATAATGGCCGATTTTAAATCTGAAATGAACCGAAAATGCTGGGTTTTTAACTTACCTTTAGAGGTTATTTATTTTACCCCAAAAAATAGAAGTTAAACCCATTCGGTCCTAATGGAATCTTTAAAAAAAACATTAACAAAACAAGATGTAAGTCTTTTCTACTATATCTGATTTTCTAATCCCTATATCTTTGTAACCCAATGTCGTAGACCTTAGATATTTCAAACTATGAACTCTTTTAGTTCAAATAATCAACATTTGAAATATTAAAGTTTAACACCATTAGGTTGTAAAGATATAGGGATTAGAAAATTTGTTTGTGGCAAAGGCTTAATTTATATTTTTAACATATATTATATATTTATAAATCTGTTTCAATCTGAAACCGTGGAGTATGATTTGCCCTGATATTGTTTTGTTTAGTATTGGTATAGCACTGTCTATGCTATACGAAGGGACTGGTGGAAGAACAAGAGAACAATTGAAAACTGCTCTTCGCTTCCCGGACCCAACATCTATTCAGGAAAACAATCANCCTCTCCCTTTCTTCTTCATTAGTGGATTCCAGTTTGAACATTTCACTCTTGTATGCCCTATTAGAACCATTCCACTCTTGTATACACTATAAGAAACATTCCACTCTTGTATACACTATTAGAAACATTCCACTCTTGTATACCCTATTAGAACCATTCCACTCTTGTATACACTATAAGAAACATTCCACTCTTGTATACACTATTAGAAACATTCCACTCTTGTATACACTATTAGAAACATTCCACTCTTGTATACACTATTAGAAACATTCCACTCTTGTATACCCAATTAGAACCATTCCACTCTTGTATACACTTTTATAGAACCATTTCACTCTCGTATGTCCTATTAGAACCATTCCACTCTTGCATACCCTATTAGAACCATTCCACTCTTTTTGTATACCCAATTAGAACCATTCCACTCTTGTATACACTATTAGAACCATTCCACTGTTGTATACCAAATTAGAACCATTCCACTCTTGTATACCCTATTAGAACCATTTCACTCTTGTATACACTATAATAGAACCATTTCACTCTCGTATGTCCTATTAGAACCATTCCACTCTTGCATACCCTATTAGAACCATTTTACTCTTTTATACCCTATTAGAACCATTCCACTCTTGAATGCCCTATTAGAACCGTTTCACTCTTGTATACACTATTAGAACCATTCTACTCTTGTATACCCTATTAGAACCATTCCACTCTTTTATACCCTATTAGAACCATTCCACTCTTGTATACACTATTAGAACCATTCCACTCTTGTATACACTATAATAGAACCATTTCACTCTCGTATGTTCTATTAGAACCATTCCACTCTTGCATACCCTATTAGAACCATTCCACTCTTGTATACCCTATTAGAAACATTACACTCTTGTATACACTCTTCTTTGTCCCTAGTTGAACCACTATGAAGTTTAGTTTGTGTAGGAAGATGTATCAGGGTTGGTAGATGAGTACGAGAATAATGCAACTAATATTACTCTCAGGAAACTAAGCACATGTCAAACTTTTAAAGAGACTTCTCACCAATTATGAAAAGGAACAATGGAAGAACTTTTAAGTTAACTAAATCCATTATATTTTGTGAAATCCTGTCCGCAACTGATCTTTGAAAGCTAGAGATAAAACATTTTTTTTCTGTTAAGGAATTGAGTCTTTGCTACAATCTCTGAATTTATAACCCCTATATCTTTGGAACCCAATGTCGTAAATCTTTGATATTTCAAACTTGCATTACTTTATCTAACAGAATTCATAGTTTGAAATATCTAAGGTCTACGACATTGGAATCCAAAGATATAATGTTTAGAAAAGCAGAGCTTGTGGCAAAGACTCCGTTATTGATTATTTTACTTCTCTAACCCAACCTGACGAATGTAAAACTTTTATGGTTTTAAAAATGAAAGGTCACCGGCATCAGATTGCAAAGATATTAGTTTTCAAAATAAGAGTTTGTGACTCATTTTTGCCTTAAATGTTCTTGTCCGGTATGCAACTTTGACACATAAATCTGGAGAACGAAAAGATAAACTCAAAGGAATTGAGTCTTTGCCACAAACTCTGATTTTCTAATCTCTATATCTGTGCAACCTAATGTTTTTGACCTTGGATATTTCAAACAATGAATTCTGTAAGATCAAATAGTCAAAGTTTGAAATATCACAGGTTTACAACATCAGATTCTAAAGATATAGGGATTAGAAAATTTGAGTTTGTGAAAAGACTAATTCCTTTTCAATTTGGCTCGCGTCCTGGAACCCGCGTCCCCGGCCGAGGGCATATCCTGTACTGTTTCTTCTAAAATCTATATGACAATGTGTAGGATGGGAAACGGGGTTTTCCTGACAGGAGATATTACACCCAAACAACAATTCTTGGATACAGTAGGTAATCATCAGATTAAAATGGATATAACATTAGACATGGCACTTTCAAATTTAAATTTTGTTACATTTTTCGTCGTCGTTATTGAATAATTGAAAAACGATTCTCGTAATCCTTACAAAATGAACAATCTATGATGAGTTTAAAGATTTAATTTGCGCTCTTGCTGAACAATTATGCACGGCAAATTCGTCTCATTTGTCCCAAATGAGTCCTTAAAAATTCTCTTCAACACTGTATTTTCAGCTCAACTTCCATGTCAAGCCAGACACTCCCTTTAAATGTAAAACTGAATAGAATGGATACACAAATTAGACAGATACCCAATGGTTACAAAGATGAACACAGGGTAAAAATGAATACAAAAATAATGAATATGGACAACCAACCTTCTACATTAAACACACTTTTTAATCATGTTTTTCGAGAGGCAATAGAACGTTCAGGAAATTTAAAGTTTTGGATTCAACAACAGAAACAATAACTCATAGAAAGTCAGTTTTATCCTTTTAGGTCTATTCTTCTTTCTTTTCAGTATTTAAGTATATATATCATAAATTGAAAAAGTCTGCTGGCTTAAAGGGGGTGTTCAGGAAAAAAGAAAGAGGGTATAGGCATGCGATACTCCCTTTATTTTTCCCTTTAAACCAGTCGCCCCCCGAAAACAAGATATGTCACATATGCAGACAAGCATATATCAATTATGTTTTTAAAGGAATCGAGTTTTTGTAACAAATTCTTATTTTCTAATCCCTATATCTTTGCAACCCAATGTCTTAGACCTTAGTTATTTCAAACTATTAATTCTGAGAGTTTTTTTTTGATTTTCTTGAAAATCTCGTGGATTTTTTAACATCCTTAAATTCGACTGTTTAATAAGAAATACACGAGGTGTTAAATTTTCTAATTGAAAATGTTTAAAAATGAACTGGAAATCTTAGTAAAATCAACTAAATGAGTTTCAGGAGATAAACGGGATTGGCCTTCCTTTTCTACGAAAAAATTATAGTTTGAAATTTCAAAGGTCTTCAAATTCGGGTTGTAAATATGTAAGAATTAGAAAATCTAAATTTATGACCTAGACTTAATTCCTTTGCTTTGTTGCGTTCCTAGTTTTGAAAAATGTTGGAGATGCATTGTGCATTTTTTCAAAAAGTTAAAACCCTTTACACATAAATATATTGCAGAGTTATTTTAGTTTGCATGTACAGAGGAGAAGTAAGAGAACTCTTAAATATCTTACAGAGTTAATTATTTTAGTTTCCATGTACCGAGGAGAAGTGGCAGAACTCTTCAATATCTTACAGAGTTATTTTAGTTTCCATGTACCGAGGAGAAGTAGCAGAACTCTTCAATATCTTACAGAGTTATTTTAGTTTCCATGTACCGAGGAGAAGTAGCAGAACTCTTCAATATCTTACAGAGTTATTTTAGTTTCCATGTACCGAGGAGAAGTAGCAGAACTCTTCAATATCTTACAGAGTTATTTTAGTTTCCATGTACCGAGGAGAAGTAGCAGAACTCTTCAATATCTNGGGTAAAAAAACAGAAGGAGGATGGAGGGGGGGGGGATAAGACATTATAGATGCAAAAAGAGAATATTGACGTTTAAAAGTTCAAAGTAATATCAAAATGGCATTTCTAAAGGAAGAAAAATGTAAATTGGTATTCAACGAAAGTTTGAAAATTTTCAGATACCTTTCAAAACTTTAAACAGTTTAGTCACGTACATAAACAAAATACAGCTCCAGTTGAATTGTAATATCTAGTTCTAGAATTAGCAGTTTAATTCATACATTTTCCAACAATCAAAATAAAAATTTTCTTGCTTTTCTTTATTTCGTAGATTTCCAAAAAAATGTTTGAGAAATTTTTTAAAATTTTTAGCGGCCATCAAACAATCTTTAAGGTCATGTGAGGTTAAAAAAAGGTTCCAATCATGTTTCGAAATTAATGAAATGGAAAAATACAAGCTGCCAAATATATATAGAAAATACTGTTAAAGTTTGTCGCAAGGCACAAGTGTGCGAAATTGATATTTTTCTTTGCTGCAGTTTTATGGTTTATTTTTTAAATAAAATGTAGAGTAAATATTTTATATACAGTAGGAAAACGATATTTAAGCAATGTTATCTTATCTAGGAAAAGTGAAATAGGTCTTATTACACTGAACAATTGCTGTTTATTATTTTCATTATAGTCAATTTAAAATCCCGTCTTTAGTATAAATTTTGTATTTAAGGAATAAAACCGGTGGACTGATTGACCAGCTGCTTTCAGAAGGGTCTATAAACCAGGATACCCAGGGATATTGACCAAAACAAATAATTACTATTTATAAATAGCGTTTTTTCCTACTTTACTTTTGCTTAGTACTGTCGAATACATGAGAATGAGAATGTAATGAAAACCTAAAACTCTTTAATATAAGGCTTTAAATGGTTCATTCTTTAAAGGTAATCCTGTATATTTTCAACTTAGACAAACAAATCTTCTGGCTGTATCAAAATTAACTCGATGCTAAGAATTGATATTTGGATATAAAACCATCAAAAAAAGGATAAGTGAACAGAAAAAAAGGGATACATTCGAACTGTTTAATATCTGTGATAAACTAGATGTTACTCCTGAACGCTGTTTATTTCTACGGGACTTGGGCTCAACCCTTTGAGAAGGAACTAACAACCCTGAATAAATTCTATCTAGGCAACTTGTTTATTCTAAAGCAATATCATAAACCCCCCCCCCCCGTCCCCTCCCTTCCCCTTCAGGACCCGAATAAACCCCCCTTCCCCCCCGTCCCTTCCCCATCAGGACCCGAATAAAATATTTAAACAAAATTTACGGATAGACGATTAATTTATCAAAATGAAAAATGATCAAGGAAAATTGAAGAATTCTAAGAACATGAAAATAAGAAATTATTTTTGTAAAATTTATTCGAGTTCTTGCAACAAAACTTTGATTTTCTTATCCCTAAATTTTTGCACCCCGATGTCGTAAACCTTTCATATTTCAAACGATGGATTCTTTTAAATCAAATAGTCTAATTGTATCCAATGTTTACACCATCAGATTACAAATCTTGGGTTTTTAAATTATAAATCGTAAAAAATATGATTATTGTTCATAATTACTTGATCCAATTATCTGTTAATTCACATTAAGAAATTAATCTTACATACATCCGATACATCCGATACATCCGATACATCCGATACATCCGATACATCCGATACATCCGATACATCTGATACATCCGATACATCCGATACATCCGATACATCCGATACATCCGATACATTTGATACATCCGATAAATCCGATACATCCGATACATCTGATACATCCGATACATCTGATAAATCCGATACATCCGATACATCCGATACATCTGATACATCCGATACATCCGATACATCCGATACATTCGATATATCTGATACATCCGATACATCCGATACATCTGATACATCCGATACATCCGATAATCCGATACATCCGATACATTCGATATATCTGATACATCTGATACATCCGATACATCCGATACATCCGATACGTCCGATACATCCGATACATCCGATACATCCGATACATCCGATACATCTGATACATCTGATACATCCGATACATCTGATACATCCGATACATCCGATACATCCGAGAAGAAAAATTCAAACGCAAAAGTTGGTTTGATTGAATATTGTTTAGCTTTATACGCAGAGACAAATAGGTCAGATTCTGCCCAAAAGTTCCTACTAGGGTTCCAGTAATATATACAAAATCATGGAGTTTTCGGTTTAACAATAGTAATAATATTTGTATCTTAGCTTTTTACTCAAAAACTAATAAAGATATATTCTGATCAAAATAGAGAATTTGTTTAAGATAAATCACAAAAGTTTTTAAAGCTCTGGCACTATGGGACAAGCTGACATATGCTTTTTGCACATATTAATCTTTGTGCATAAAGCTTTACGATCTACAAATCAAACCAATTTTAGCTTTAGCATTTATTTTTCTTTGGTGTGCCTGGTTTTTTTAGTTCTCAATGTGTATTAACCAATATATATGGTTAAGTATAGGAGTTAGCAACATACAATGATCATATTTTTGTACATTTTGATAAATAGTAAACACCTGATATTTGAGTAGAACTCAGATCCAATCTCTTAAAGGATTAATGTAGGTAATAGGTTTATTATATATTTTGTATAACATGCTTAGTATTAATCTATAGCAGACAGTTCCTATATTTGTGTATTTACATCCTTACACAACCATATATGTTTATATAAATTTATATATCTTAACACTACACCTAAAGATTGGGAAGGATATGTAATATATTGAAATATAAGTCGAAACTCTCTACCAAAAAGTGAATGGTTTAATTGAATATTAATATAACTATTTATATATTTTTAATGAAAATTTCGAACATTATCTATATTTATCTAGAAATAACGAATTCAGCCCGACCGACTAATATATACAATTTTGTATAAAAGTCGTGGGTTTAAAAAGATCAAATTCAGCAAATTTGAAAACGAAGATATCCCAGAGAAAGCTAATTGTAACTTAGGTTTACTCCAATTCTAATTTTATATTTGTTATTCCTATTTTTAATAGATTTAATTCATAATATTATTTATACGTACGTATTACTTGACCAGAAATTCCACCAATGGCAGTGCAGTAAAGTGGTCACGTGATACATGCGGAGACACGTGACCAGTATACTGCTCTGCCATTGGTAATAGTTCAGTTCACGTGATTTAAGTTTCAGGTTTTTAAAATTTTACGTATATGAATTTTCGTATAATTTTAACACAGTTTTATATCAATTTCTCGAGACAGGAGCATCAGATAAAACTTTCATGGGTCGCGATCAAGAGCTAAAGTGATTAGCTTTCAGCCTATACCCCCTTTCATTTTTCCTTTACAGTCCCTTTAAATGAATCCTAAAGGATACTCAGTTTAACTAACTTCCATAGCCGGCCTGTGGCTCAGATTATAAAATCCCCCTGGCTTAGATTATAAAATCCCCCTGGCTCAGGTTATAAAATCCCCCTGGCTCAGGTTATAAATCCCCCTGGCTCAGATTATAAAATGCCCCTGGCTCAGGTTCTAAATCCCCCTGGCTCAGGTTCTAAATTCCCCTGGCTCAGATTATAAAATGCCCCTGGCTTAGGTTCTAAATCCCCCAGGCTCAAGTCAATCAAGGTTTAGATGCTGAATAAACAATTTCCAAGACGGAGATAAGAAAAGATATGTTGTCACGGAGTTTATGGATCTCCAGGATACCCTGGATATAGGAACAAACCCAATCTAACCCATCTATATCTTATAAGAGGGAGTGCTAAACCGTTATTCATATTTATCAATTTAAGAATGTAATTTGTCCCTGCCGCACCCCTTTTAATTTAAAAACCGTAAATGAACAGATTTACTTGTGAACATTGTAGATTTGTTTGCTATCAAACAAACTTGATCATATTTAATTCTAAACTTAAACACAAACAGAATAGTCTTTTATAGTAAATATTTATTTTCATTTTCTAAAAGGAATTCCCACAACTATTTTATGTCGTCTTCCGTGCTCGCGTTTAGTTTTTTAAATAATTCATTACAAAGATAAAAGTTAATTTAATATTTCATAAAAAGAAAAGATAACTATATTTTCATCAAACAAGAGTTCTTCTTTTCTTTTCATTCTATTTCAATAGAATTATTTTACATCAAGAATGAGATGAACATTAGTTAGATGACTTGGGTTATATTGAGTTTGGGATGACTGAGTAGTGGAGGAACCGGGACGGATGCAGGTTGTTATTCTAAACTACTCCCAACCTGGATACTCCATGATACTTTACAAACCGGATCCGAATATGGATATTGATGTATTAGGAAATTAATTATCAATATTATCTTGACATGTAAAATATAATATCAGGGAGGTTAAACTTTTTAATAAACGAGTTGAACTAATGAGATACTTCAGAAAAGATTTAATTTTTTTCCGACACAATTATCAATCTGTCAGGTCTGAATATGCTGAAATCATTCTTGGGATAAAAAGCAGAGTTTTTGTTCTCCGGAGTCGGGAGAGAGGAATCCTAAAAACCAAATGAAATTCTTTGTGTGATGAAGGAAACCACGACAATCCTTCCAAATATCCAATATATTGATTTCTATTCTAGATTTTCACAGGTAAACAAATATACAGATTTGATTTTTAATCTAGATTTTCTAGATCATAGGTCAACAAATATATAGATTTGATTTCTACACTAGATTTTCTAGATCACAGGTAAACAAAAATACAGATTTGATTTCTAATCTAGATTTTCTAGATCATAGATAAACAAATATACAGATTTAATTTCTATTCTAGATTTTCTAGATCATAGATAAACAATTATACAGATTTGATTTCTAATCAAGATTTTCTAGATCATAGATAAACAATTATATAGATTTGATTTCTAATC